CATCACCTCCTCCACCCTGACTATCTCCATGGCCGAGCGCTGGGAGGTCGTCTTCGATTTCAGCCAGTTTGCGGGCCAAAACATTACGCTCCGCAACCAGGACGACGTCGGTAAGGATAAGGACTACGGCTTCACCAACCAGGTGATGCGCTTCGTCGTAAGCAAGCCCGCCGTTGTCGACAATGCCGTCGTTCCCGCCAACCTCCGCAACGTGCCCTTCCCGCCGTCGCAGGGCAACGGCGTTGACCGCAAGTTCCTGTTCCACCGCCAGGGCGGCGGCTGGAAGATCAACGGTGTCGGCTTCAGCGACGTCAAGAACCGCATTCTTGCCAACGTGCCTCGCGGCAAGGTCGAGATTTGGGAGTTTGAGAACGGCGGCGGCGGCTGGACGCATCCCATCCACGTGCACCTCGTCGACTTCCGCGTCCTCAGCCGCACGAAGGCGAAGAGACCCGTCCTTCCATATGAGGCCGCTGGTCTGAAGGATGTGGTTTGGCTTGACGCTGGTGAGGTAGTCCGCGTTGAGGCGCATTATGCTCCATGGGATGGCGTGTACATGTTCCACTGCCATAACCTCATCCATGAGGACCACGAGATGATGGCGGCATTCAACGTGACGGCCCTAGCCGATTTCGGGTACAACGAGACTTCCTTTGCCGACCCAATGGAGGCTAGATGGAGAGCTGTTCCGGTTACAGCTACGGCTTTTAGCGCTGATGCTATTACGCAGAAAGTGCAGTTCATGGCATCGCTTCAACCTTATAACAATGTTGATGAGGTCACAACGAGGCTGGATCAGTACTGGTCCACTCGTGGCGGCGTCAAGATGAGACGTGTCAAGAGAGCTGCACAGGCTGCTATTGATGGACCTCAGTAGATGATCTGAGGTTGACTCTCCTAGAGTCTTGTAAGATATTGTGTGAAAACCATGTACATCTGACGAGGTGGGCCGAGGGAGAGCAGAGGGTATACTTTCACTTGTAAAACTTTACTACTTGTACTGGACTTTTGGTATTCGATCTTGTATTTTATACTTATACATAGAAACATAAAAACTAGTAACGAAACATGCACTTCTACATTGCCTCAGGTAGTTTATTCGACGATAGGTGGTTGTGAGCTTTTCTTTGCTCTCTTCGCCTCACTGCGAAAGAATCCTTCCGTTTTTGGCTGAACGAATGTTGAGACATCTCCTTTAACAGTTCAAGAAATCGCAAATGGCACAAAATTGGCGAGTATACAAAATAGGTAAGTCCATTGTGGGATTGAATTATCGTCCTCTATGGACTTTCCATGACTTATTTAACTTCAAGGGTTGCTGAGCAATAAGAATGATACTAAGGTAGTTCTCCAAACATCGGCCAAGTCCCACACAACGAGAATGACCAACTTCAACACAAGTTCTTGTGCATCGTTGCACAAGAACACTTGAATCCAACGAATGGCAGCAAATTTGACATCGACCCTCACACGAGTGCAATGAGATTGGAGCAAGCCCTGCAACGAACTAGCACTGATGCACGCTAGACCCTCGGGCGCTGTTGCAGAACCAAACATTGGGATCATTGAGCATGTAGCCGACGTCAAGGTTGCCATTCTCGATGGTTCCGGCGACGTAGTAGCCACAAGCGCTCGTGATAGTCGAGAGACCCGCAGCGAAGCTAGCCTCGGTGATGCGGCCACTGCCAGGCCCACGGCCGCAAAGGAACACGACAACGTTGCCGCTAATCTTGTACCACGCGAGGCCAGGTCCAACGTCGGACTGGCCGCCTGCAGCATTGATATCGTTCTTGATCTGTTGGACGGCGCGGTCACAGTCGATGTTGTTCAAGAAGTTGCCGCAGCCGCACCACACTGTGGCCGCACGCTCGAAGAGCTCGCTGGGGGCCGGGGAGCGGCGGAACCGAGAGAGGCCAGGCCTCTTCACGGCTCGCGCCTGAGTGTCAGCCGAGGCGAGGCCGGCCACAGTGATGGGATTGGGGTCTTTGACGTGGACCTCATTGCCCGACTCGTCGTAGTAGGCGAGATAGGTGCCGTCGGTTGCGCCCTCGGGGATTCTGAAGGCTGCTGAAGCGGCGGCGAGAGCTGCAACGAGAGAAAGAGATAGATGCATTGCAAGGAATTTAGTTTGATGCTTGGAATTCAAGATTTTGATGGAGTGGACTGAGGAGTCGAGGTCGATTGTTGTCTTCTGAATTATCAGTAGGCTCACTGTCTGAAAAAGAGTTCCAGTCGTGTCCTTTTATATTCAGATTGAAGAGCCTTTTTGGCTTCTTTCCCCATCATCCCTCAGCTTCGCAACTCTAAGCAGCTCCTGAGGATGCCTCTACGGCCCAGCCTAGGCGAGGCTTCTCCCCCACTTCGCTTCATCAATGTAACATTCGCTTCTTGAAAGCAACGATAGCCTCATCCAGCCGGGCGATATACCCTGGGCGATGTCGCTGCAGTTGAGTTGTCAACTAATACGTCTCCCAAGCTTCACAGCGAAGACTTAGACGAGTCACTCGCTCCAACTCGCATTCAGACCCACAAGGAGACCTCAAGCTAAAGACTAGGTAGAGGGACAAAAATTACAGGCCATGGTTGGATTCACAGCTTGAGAAATGCTCCACCCTTGAGTCCGAGGCTGCATTCATCACATGTTCGGGGAAGAACCGCATTGAGCAACGATGGTATTCTCACATCACACTAGTACTACCCATGGCAACTGTATGGGTTCCTTTAGGGCTATGTCTCCCAGCGAGGGGCTTCATTCCACTTTCAGGAGATGATTGACCAATCAGTTACCCGCATGTATATTAGGCATCTTTGGCTACATCAGCCGTGCCGCAGTGCACAGGGTTGCGAGATGGTGATTAGGTAACCCTAATGCGGATAGATAGGCTGGACGGCGACTAGATAACACACGCGCCTATTCAATCTTGCTCTTATTGGTCAAAATATGTTCAAGACGAGAAATGGCTACAACTTTTGGAGAACTCGCTATTAGGAGTTCCCTCGGCCAAGCCAAGACACTTCCCACGATGCACCAAATGCAATGCTACATTGATCTAGACTATCTATGCAGTCTTTGATATGTTTTACGCCGCATGACAGCTTAATGTCTCAATTAATATTGGAACTTTGGTTTTCTTTGACGCTACTTACAGTGGACTCGAAGCTAACTTTGCAGGACTGAATGACAAACTTTGCATATTGGAGCAAGACAGAGCCTACGAACGCTGTCACAGTGACCATGGAAGGAACATATCATAATGAAGAAATGAGGGGAAGTATTTTTGGCACTTGTATTTGGCGTCTTCTTCACGCCTTCACGTGAATGTTTTGCTACCTGTACCATAGTGCCTTGCTGCTTAAAAGTGGGGGGAATATGAGAAGTAAGATTAACTAACATCCTCGTTATATCAACACCTACGTAGCATCAACCCCCCGGATGGGCAGACTTTCCGTCTTCAGGCGATCGTGAGGCATTTTGGCTCCCCCAAGCCCGCATCGTTACTTCTGGACTGCGAAAATGAAGTCGTATGGATGTTGTCTCCACATCAGGACTCGAACTGCTATCTGAGCACAATTCGATATGTCGGCTTGTGTCTGGGGACGTCAACTCTGCCAGGGGATGCAAACCTGTTGAGGCTAGTCGGGGCAGGGCATGTCATGAAGCTGTATGCCGCGAACTCCGAAGCCTGGATAAACACGCGCTGAGCTCTGCGGGAACAGCGTCATGGCTGGTTGGCGCCAGCGAGAGCTCTGTTTTCCCGCGCGTATTGAGAAAGGGTTGGCACAAACACTATGTATTCAGAGCTCTAATATTGTCGGCCAGGAGCTAAGGCTGTAAGCTAGTAGCGTGGTATTGCTGCCTACAATGTCCAATACATAATTTTAGTATTACTGGCGGCATGAAGTAGAACAAAGACGGTACATGTTTAAGAGAATACTCTACTCATACATGGCAATATTGTACGAACTCCTGGATACTGCGCCGACTATTTCTTAGCAAATCTTTCTTTCTTTCGACGTCGCTCTGGCACTTTAGCCAACGAAAGCGAATCTCCTTCGAGTCCGTTTCTCTAAAGCGTTCTAGGATAATTTCCATTTCGAGTTCGTACGGTCTGACTCCTCCAAATTCGTGCAGCAGACCTCGATATTCTGCATCTGTGGAATCCCACTTTCGTAATTTAGGACAGCAATCGATGAAAATGGGCGTGCCCTCGGTGGCGATCGCTTTAAGATACTGATACAATTGCATTCTTGCCTCTCGTAACTTGTCCTCCAGCGATGGTGACCTTTGAAAGTTGGCCGCCGTATCGGATAGGCGAGAACCTACGTGTTGGTATACACGTAGGCAGGTCAGACCTTTCGGTCGCGACGAGGTCAATAGGTCAGTATAGGTCTATTGCGTATTGAGTGTGTAGGAGGAGAAGATCGTGGGCAGAGCCCGCGATCCCTCAGTGGGTGTAAGTAGGTGGAAGGGTCCGTCTGCACGGGCCCAGACTGCCTACCTACCTAACTACCTAACTACCTAATAGGGCCCCTTTTCTGCCTCGTAATCCAACAGGAGTTTTTGCCCCGGCCGGGGATCCGTTCTTTGAGTACCTGCTAGGTAAGGTAGTCGAGGATATCGCTGAGAAATAGCCTGCTTAGGAAGACGGTTTAGAAGGGACTGTTCAGAAGGGAAAGACAAGGACACAGCTGGCCAGGCTGATTCCCGAAATCTCGACGTGGAATCGACAGTAAGGGAGGGAAATAGCGGTACACATCGGTATCAGGTTATTGCAAAAGTCAAGGGTCTTTGGGAAATCATGGAGCCTCCAGAAAAAGCTTATTACTTTATTGGAACTGGAAGAAAAGAGAAGCAGATAAGACCCAAACTTTCTCGGGAATGGTTAAATTGGCCTGCTGCTCGTGGCTGGCTGTCTAGCACTGTCCAACTTCCAAACGGGCGACAGGTGTGAATTATCACTGCAGAGTGTACAATTCACAGACCCTATTTAAATCTCGCGCTATGTTATTGATGGTTTACAAGGTTTCCGAGCATAGATAACGTGTCTAGTGAATAGTCAGTGGGTAGTCTCGAAGGAAGCCTGGGGGTCGATTTAGGACGACTTAGGTAACGACTCACTGTCTCCAGTAGGCATGCAGCCTCGTATCCTTCACCTCCTTCTTGACCTCTGCACACAACTCCTCAACGGCATCTCGCGTCCAGCCCTTTACTCTGGTCAAGAGGCCCAAAGAAAACGCCTCGAGGCCCATATCGAGATTCGCGCAGTTCCATCGACCGGCTTCCTTGAGTTTTGGGTCATCGGGCCAGTTGTTGAAAGGCCATTTGTAGATCTGGTGGTGTATCTCGATGAAGCCAACGTTGTGAAGATCGTCAAGACAGTCTACAGCGTAGTTGATAGGCCGACCCACCTCGTTTGAGGCATCCACAAGCGCGTGTTGCCAGCGGTAGAGAGCGGCGTCCGGTGGCACGGAACCGTCGTCACAGTGAGATGGAAGCTCGAGGTCTTGAACCTCGAAGTAGCCACCGGGCTCCAGATGACTGCACCAGTATCAGCAAGTGAAGCTACTGTACCTTAAGGAGGCTTAATTCTTACTCGTATGCTCTTTGGATCATAGATCGAAAATCTGACCAACTGCCTGAACAGGACCGATTAAATATATAGTCAAAGGGTTGTTCCCAAGGCCAGTCGAGCTCGAGGTCATCTACCTCAAAACTGCAGTTGGCGGGAACCCTACGCGAGAGTGATTAGCGAAGCAAGCAGAAGACGGAGTGAGGCTTAAGCTTACAGGTCAGGTTGAATGGCGCTTAAGTCCACACCGATAACCTGGAAACAGTTTAGTCAACGGGAAAGCGTGATCTTTTGTCTTATTTTTGTACCTCAGAGCCGGGATATGCATCGGCTAGCAAAGTGTCAGTCTCGCACTCAGCAAAACCCTCTGCAAACGCACGGGAACCGGTCACAAGTTCATCACTCACCAAAGTCAATCGCCCAGATTCCAGTTCCGGTTCCCAGATCCAGAACTCGCCTTGCCGTCTCTCTCCCAGGGCTTGTCGCTAATTCTCCATCGAGTGTGATCAACCACAGATGATGTTGAAGATCTACTCGCTGTGAGTAAAGTTGCAGGGAAGGGAACCAATGGTAACACGTACCGTAACGTATGAGTTCCAGCTACACTCTCAAATCAAATTAACGCGTTTCAAGCCAATAAGAATGGTGGATAAGAAAAAAGTAATTACATCGTCATTCGGATACGCATATTCTGTTAAATATTAGCCAGAAGCACATGTGATTGAAGCAAACTGGTGGCAGACTCAACTGCCTTCGCTCATCGAATGGTACGATCTGCCGTTTTCAAACTGATACTCGAAAATATCTGACGTTATTGAAAGAAGATCGGGCTGCGCGGGCGGCTGATGACATTAAGTTATGTACAGAGTGAAGATGCCCGACTCAATTCGTAGTGGACATACCTCCATATCCTCAATCGCAGAGTCGAGATCAGAGTCCATCTCCTCGGCATTTGTCCCCTACAGCTGTCAGAATTGAATTTCAAACATGGTCAACAGTTCCAAAAGCGAGCCTAGCGACTTACCTCATCTTGCAATTCAAGATCGTCGTCGACGTCCATCTAATTCAAAACATAGGTAGCGTATATGATAGTGTCAATGACGAGGATGGGCGAACCAAACTGTCGGGTTCTGAGTGGCGTGGGAGAACCGAGCAGCTGGTGCGGGGGGAAGGGGGGTGGAAGGCCGCGGCACATGGAAGAACGGGCAGAGGGGTCCATTATGAATGGGTTAGGTTTTCGAACGCTAATCACGGATATCAGTACATGTTTTCTAGGAGCAGGGGCTCGAAGGACATTGTTTTGATTGCTGGTTTCAACATGCTCTTGTTGGTTCCAACTTCCAAGTGCGGAACGTTGGTGTGATGAGACTTCAGCCGTTGGGCGGCTACGAAACTCTCTTGGACCAACCAGTCGGTGTGATGAGGGGGCCGGCTCGCCTCCGATATCAGCTATTTTTTCAACGGGCTCAGTAGCGTTGTAGAACGTAACAGGGGCGTGGCGGTGACGGGGATCCTCTTGACAACGAGGGTGGAGCAGCTTTCCAACAATAACAACCAGAGTCGCAAAGACTTCGAGGCGCGTTTGTGCGTTGGAGATCGCTGACACTTCTGGCTCTACATTATAAACCGCAAATTGGCCTGCCCGCCCTACAGACGAGCATCCGAGATGTTCTCAATTGTCTGGCCGGTTGGCCCAATGGCAAGGCGTCTGACTACGATACACCGTGGAATCAGGAGATTGTGGGTTCGACCCCCATGCTGGTCAAAACTTTTGCCTATTGACGATATCGTCGTTTTGCCGGCCAAGGAACAATGTAGTTGAGTATATTCCATCGAGAGCGGAAAGTCGTCAATAATGAGTGCTCATTTAAGCTCAACTGATCTCCAATTCTGTTCTCGACCCAATCTCATGATACGTGGAAATAATGGAATTAAGCCCAAATTTACTTTCCCCCGCATGTCATTCCGCTTTCGATGGGGTGCACGATGTGTACTGGGCAACTATTCCGTGCACCACGACCGAATCAACAGGGCGATCGCGCCCAAAGCTGACGATAGCTGGTGAAGTTACTACTTAGATCAGGAAGAAGTAGTTTTCATACTCCAAGTCCGCTTAGACCGAAGAAAAGAAGGGTAAGGATCCAGCAACCTCTGAGTTGACCAGGCATGCTGGGGGGCACAAACCATCAATCATGGAATCATTCTATTAACATTACGTGCAGTTTCAGGGTATAATGTCGATCCCAAACTTCTACTTACTTGACAGAAAAGCGGCAATTTCGCGGTGTCCAGAAACCCGGTTTATGTCCTATCGTCTGGAGTTGTGAGATACTTATCTTCTCCGTAGGTGGAGTTCAAAGTAATCGATCCAACAATGTTTCCAGACTCCAGTCTAATAAACGTGTCAAGCTCCCCTTTTGACAGTTTATCACGGGTGAAAGACAATTGCCTCGAACCTCGGATCCAATTTCCGTATCCCCCATAGCCTGTATGCTGACCGAAACACAGGTTGACGCCCGTTCCGTCAACGGAAACACCGCTGACAGAGCCTTTCCACTTAGTGCACCAACTGTTGCCGTGGTCGTGACCGCTGAACACTCCAATCATGCCCGGGCTATCAGCAACCGCCTTCATGAATGCCGAGTCTTGGCCGCCGTAGTCGCAGGAATCTTTTTGACTCCCATCTTTGCACCAGCCTTGAGCTTGATACGACAGCGGAGAATCGTCGTTTATCCCAGGATTCTTCTCAGGGTCGATGCCCTGCGATTGAATAGCACTCGAGGCCTTTGGTGGGATGTGAACAAATGCGACACCCGGAATGTTCTTGTTGTGTTTCTTGTTGAGATCTGAATTGGTGGATTTGAACCAGTTGACGACACTTTCGTCGACCCAGTTGGGCTGGCCCACCAACTTCGCTGCATCATTCGATCCAGTCTGCATGAAATAGTAGCCGCCTCTGCTGTCAAAGAACCATAACACCAGCTCCGGCGTACAATCGTCTTTCGTGCAGCCGGAAGCATAAACCGGTAGATAGTAATTGGATACCCCAGCGTTGGAGCCACTGACCATCTTTTGCGTTCGAGAATTTGGCCATTGTTTCTCGCGCGCCATGATATCGCTCCCCGTAATATTTTGCTGATAGTCGTGATTACCGTAAGTGCTAGCCCAGGGAATACTCCGATCGACTATGGGCTTCACCAACTGATCGAGGACGAATGTTGCGTTTTCTGCAAAGGCATTTTCTCCAGTGATGAGGTCACCGTTTAGTACCACCAAGTCTGGCTTGGCATCATCTAGCACCTTGGTGATGACACCGACAGTTTTCTTGTCTGCAGCAGGGCCGAATGCTTCCCAGGCGTCTACAGGAATGCGGTATTAGCACTGAACAGAGCACAGTATCCATGGCTGGTGTTCCTGCGCCTACTTCATAGACTTACTCTCTCCGAAATGAAGATCTTCGAAGATGGAGATCTTGAAGCTGCCATCTTTACTGAAGCTCAACGGGTCTGAGGCTTTGTCGCGACGGTGCAGTATTGGGGATTGACGGGACAGTCCTGTAAATGCAGCCAATGCCCAGATGAAACTCGCCACTTTGAAAGTCATCGTCAATGTTCCGGGTGCTTGGAAACACAGCTGATCTACCGGAGCACATGTACAACCTCCAAAACTTTCGGAGCCTGCTGAAGCTATATACAATGCCACCATCTGAAGTCTCGCAGTGGCTCGGCCAGATTGCTATGGGTCATGGTTTCACAAATGCAGTCAAGGGATGTCGAGAAACACCAAACGTGCATACTCAGAAGGACCTTCAAGGGGCCATTGATCTTTGTTTTGAGCTCGAAAGGCGAACAGAATTTGTATGAAGCCAACCGCATCAATGCGATATTGCAATTGCAAGGGAGATGATCTAGTATTAGGATACTCTCTTGGATCCACGCGGATCGCGTGGCAAAGATCCCGAATAGTGATGAATAGAGCCGCTGGAGGGTTTGTCTGCTTGCCTGCTCGAACCTCGATTTGAAGGTCCGGACCATCTGTGCAGCCAACACGGACTCCGACCTGTCACCATCAGTCAACGCCCTCTAACCACACTAGCTTCCATCGCTTTGATCTTAAGCTCGAGCATTTTTGTCCACAGTGATCTGATCTTGGCCGGTCTCCCCACGGAGTTGGGGAAACGGAACTTTGCGATGAACCCCGAATGACCTCAACCAACCTACTTACTTCACGGCCGGTAGCTTACCCAAACCCGAAAGCAACATGTGCTCTCATAGTACATGCTTACGTGTCTGTCTTACAGTATGTAATACAGCTTCAGCCTTTATCTCCCTCTTGAAAAGAGCATAGAATAGAAAGACCCTAGTGTTTCAACATTCTCGAGTTCGCATTCTGAGAAATATTGATCATAGTTGTCAGGATCTGACTAGGTGATTATTTTACGAAACGTGTCAGGGCTGCGACTGTCCACGGCTTCTCACGTTGTTTCCGAATCCTTTGATAAAGGTGATCGCTCTGCAGGCACCTATCTACTGCCTGAAACTAGTTCCCAGTCCAGTTCTGTATCAGCTGCCGAACCGTATCTTGAGGTGTTCTTCCAGAGTTGTGGGCTTGCGAACACGCCCCAAAGACACAATTTCACTAGCCGGCACCTCGAATAGTCCCTGGTCGCTCAAGAATGCGACAACCTCTGGGAGATACTCAAAGTTTCTAGCTCTGCCTTTCTCCTTACGCAGTCTCGCAATCTCTTCCGCAAGCATCCCCAGGGTGCCTTGGCGCTTGACCTCAACAAAGGTCCCCGTCGCCTCCTCGTATGCCAACGCCAGTTCCTCAATCGTATTGACTCCAGAGCGCATTCTGAAGAATCCCCCCTTGCCCTGTTGAACGCCGTCCCCATTGATGAGGATCTCAATGGTCCATGCAGCAACGTCGTCTTGCGCCGTCCATGAATGCAACTTCTTGTTCCCCTCGCCCCAGTAGCGCATTTGAGGGACATCACCAGAAGTATCGAAACCTCCCGGCCCGTACGGCGTAAACAGGAGGTCAGCAAAAGTGCCCGTGAGAAGATACACCGGCTTGATTGAGCTTGTCATGGCGGCCTGTTGCTCAAAGGCAATATGAGCGTCGTAGTGCTCGAAATCGCCAAACTTGATCTTTGTCCAGTCATTGTTCCACGAGGAGGCCATAAAAACCTTGACGTTTGCCCGCTCGGCAGCCCTGAGGAGTAAGAGGCAACCGTCGAGATCCAGTAGAGGTGTCGGGTTGTAAGCGCAGATAATCGCATCAACACCGGCTACGGCCTTATCTAGAGCTGGAATATCATAGTAGTTGCGACTTGTGACGAAGGACTCCAGACTCTGGGCCAGCTCAGGACTCAATTTTGAGGGATCACGTCCCAGGCCCCTGACAGAGACACCGCGCTCCTTCGCAACCATTGCTAAGCGGCTACCAAGGCTGCCAGATATTCCGGCGATTAAGACGAGCATGTTGATAAGTGTAGGTAGTTGGTAGAAACTTGCGTTTGTAAAATTGATGAGTGCAGTTTAGAGCTCGATAGTACCGATTGGGCAGACGAGCCTCCGCAACTTATAAGCGCCGGTGGGATACTGCAGCGGGGTTTGCGAAATGATTCGCTCTCAAAGATGAAGATCACCATCCACTGCGCACTGGAGAGGTCCAGTTCAGTATATCATGCTGGGATTACCATGGTGAACACCTCCAGTCGTCGCTGATAACGTTATGTGAATGCCGTTTGTCGTGAGATATCTAACGTAAATTTCAAGTATGCTGATGAAGCTTTCTCCGATTTCCAATGCATCCCGTCAATAGTCCGTCGACCCGTGACGCGCTTCCCGTGGGTCTGTGGCGGTTGTTCGATTTTGGCCATGCGTTCCGCGGATTCCGCGGGTAGCCCCATTGAGGCCAAGAAATATCGAACGTCGGCAGACAACTAGGCCTTAATTGCAATACACACCTTGCAGTCGGGTTGGAACTTTACAAATCATTTGGTCAAAGATCGTACTAGTATGTCAGTCGCCAAGCAATCACCTGCCCGAAGTGAGATTCTAGTCGCCGTCTCGGGGATTGGCCTGTTGTGAACTTCATGAAATTGGGGAGGAATTTCAACAAATGGCAACACGAACGGAGCCGCGCCGCAACCCAAGAGGCGCAAAGTCGAGAAAACTCCCAGTGGAAACAACGCAGCGGACCGGGCCATGAGCGCCGTCTTTGGAGCCACAGCTT